ATATATTAGACAATATATTAAAGCGATTGAATAAGTCTGTAGTCTTTTCTTTGGAAAAATTGATCTTATTATATTGTTGAATTTTTAATCGCTGAATAATACAAACAATTTCGATGATTAACGCCCGTCCATTCACCAAGGATCTTTATATGCCGATCACACTAGAAAATCAATCACTCATTCTTCCTTTTTTTCACTTCATTCTTTTTCTCTATGTGAATTTATCCGTTGCATGCATACATTTTTTCGAATTTGCTACTTACATTAATTACGTTACGTAATGGCAATATTTATTTTGACTTAGTCGATACACGAAAATTACGCAAACAAGTATAGAACAGCGCATCTGAAATTAATCGAAACATTTAAGAAACGAAGTAAGTCAGTCCTGTTTTTTGCCAACGATTTTCTCAAAAATTGTTTTTGACAATAAAAATAAATAAGGAAATATAAAAATCAAAGTAGCGAAACAAGAATAAAACGCGTTGTAAAGAAAGATCATTATCTGATGACTTGATTATCGTAATAGCCAAATTGCCTCGTTTCTCAAATATATCGATTCATTTATCTTACATCCATTCACTCAATTTTTTACTTTTTTTTTCCTCGCTCACTGGGTATATACATTTACTTACGTACAGATATATCATAATATTTATAAATACGACTGTCGCAGAAAAAAAAAGAAACGTACGTTTATGTATACCTACGTATTCCCGTGTGTGTTTCTTTAAAACACCTCATATGATTGGCAGTATGTGAAAGATTTCTTTATATATAATATAACGATTCTCTTCTTTATTTTTTATTACGTATTCATTTCGGATACGTGTACTTGTTTAGCAAGCTTTCGTTTTGCGAATAATTCTTTCAACTTCTCTGTATTTTTTACTCTCTTGTATCGTCCGTCGTATAAACGTACGATTGACGACGAAGTTTGAAGACAAATTAATTATTATTAAAATGATGTTTTTCGTTTATTTTTCACGAATCGCGCGCGTTTCGATAATTAGCACACTTATTGTTAATATTACAGTAATGATAGTAAACAGCGTTAGTAGCGACGATAGTAGAATAGTTTAGTAATGGTAGTTGTAATAATAGAATAATAGTAGTAGTGATAGTAGTAGCAGCAATAGTAGTAGTAGTAGTAACAGTAATAGTAGTGGTAGTAGCAGTAATAAATCGTAATGTAATAGTAATGGTAGTAGCAGTAGTTAGTAATAGTGTAATAGTAGAGTGAAGTAATTGTTTTCCATATTTTTTTCTGCAGGTGTTAATTTAATAACGGTATTAGCAGTAATAAGTAATAAATATTGTAATTCAATTATACGTCGTAATTTACAGGAGTGCTTTTGAAAACTGTATGGTAAGAATTGTTTATCTCTCCGCGTCATCGATTCTCTTTCTCTCTTTCTCTTTTACGCATCCCCCCCTCCCCCCCAGTTATCTCGCGACAATTGTTAATCCTCACCCCGTATTATATCAAATACGCATTTCTCGATCGTGGTCCTCGTTTCCTGAACTTTCTCCTAATCACTTGATTGGCACGAATCGCGAGGCAACATCCGCGCGAATTAACGACGACGTTTACGTTCGCTTTCTTCTTCCTTCTGCTCCTTAAGTTTACCCTTACGATGACTACAATTGTCTCGCATTTCGATGTCATAGAACAAGAACCGCGACTGCGAACAATATTGGTATTTCGTAATGGTGGTTCTTGCGCATTTCTCTCTCGGCGAAACGATTTCTAATCATTCGTATTTCATTAGGCTTTCAATTTCACGTGATTTTATTAGTGGCAAAATAGAGCTGACCTAAATTCTGATAGAATTGATAGAATTTTCTGTTTAGACTTTCAATTTAACTTCTAATCCTATTAACTCTTTTTTCATTAATCTTCATTCATCGGGAAACACCCGCTTGTTGATCCGTTCCGTTCGCACGACTAAATTTTCCGACGAATCGTCCAACGATGCTTACAACGAAGAAGCGAAGCAACATAAAACAGATTTTCAGATGTCAAAATAAAACATCGTCATTTCAAATTGTTTTGTTTTATTCTACTTTGTTTAATTTTTTAGTTTTCAAAATTGAAAGTGACGATGTAAGTCTTATTGAATTCTGAAAGTACATAACTGCCATTTCCATTCTCTCGCTTCAGTCTCCCTCGATTGTCCTTCAATTGTCGTCGTTGAACAATTAACATTACTTAATCGGCGCTTTCACGAGTGGAAGTAGAATGATTTGGTACATCAGTCGTGATTTCCGGCTAATTATGGGGGAAGGGGGAGGGGGAGTTTCTTATGCATGCACGCACAAGATCATACGAACATACATACATACATAAATGCACACGCACGTAAGAGAACGTTTTGTGGTGATCACAGCGCAATTCGGGCGTTCGATGAGTCTCTCCTCCAGAAAATCGTATAAAAAGTAAGTCTTCCTCGAGACGGTCTTCGTTCGATCGAGTCGAGGTAAGATCGAAATATTAATTCGCGAATATAATATATCGGAGGATTTCGAGCTCTCCTGAAACGTCCGTTCAATTAATCAATCACTGTCGTTCACGAGTTTCACTGCAACCTACCACCTTGTCTCTCGACGTAGCCGTCGCTCGTGATCTCGAGAGATCCATCTTCGCTTTAACGTGCATCGTTCGCACCAATGTAGAGCGTCTTCGACTACAGCGATTGAATAGAATTCATCTTTCAAATCCCTCGCATCAGGCGATCGTTCGTTCTCGATACTTCTGACCCGATTCTCCAGACTCCAAGATCGGATCTTCGAGATTCGTCGAGCTCAGTTGTTTGATTGCACTTCGATCAATTCGTAGAATCGCGTACGTCGCACTCTTCCTCGTTCGCGGATTCGTGCGACGTCAATGTATGTGTGAATGACAGTTCCACCGATTTCTCTTGTGCGTTCACGAGAAATCGATTTTTTATGTGTGTTTGTTGACCCTGTTCGGTCGCCGTGTTTAGCCACCGGAAATTACTTCGAACATTATCCATCTGGAATTGTTTTTCCTGTTTTCTTAGACCTCTTTCGGTCGCCGCAATGCCGTAACTGAAACAACTCCATGAAGCTGTTCTTCGAGCTGTCGAAATCTGGAGAGAACCTCCAGGAGCTCGTCGATCGCGGCTTTTCCGTTACTTTTGCATTGAAATCAACGCGTGTCCCACGTGAACGACTATCATGCGCAAACCTTGAGACGCCTGGGGGCGTCCACGTCACCGGACCACCGTCCAGGGTCCCACTTTGGCTAGCACCAATCGTCCTCGTCACTGTCTGAGTGCCTCGATCTGCTCAAAAATATATGTCTAATCAAAACTCGTTATTATAGTTACAAGCAAAATGGATAAATTATGTATTTAAAGAAAATATATAAATATATTAAGGTCATTTGTAAATTACATAACTTTTAGTAAAATCAATGAACTTTAGAGACTTAGCTTCTGTTGTACAACTCTTAACGACACTGTCGTTAAGAGTTACAGAATGGAGATGTTAGAAAAAAGCATTTCAAGAAAAGTAGATAAAGATCAATAAATAATAAGATAACCAATTTTAATGACAGAAGATGAGATTATTCGAAATAGAGATAGTAAAATCTTCTTACCTAGGTGCTCTCTGCTTGGGTTGTGGTTGTGGTTTGTAACCGTTGGGCACTGGGCTGGGCAGTAGACGACCGCGGCCGATTGCGACAGCTTGCTCGAAGCTCAACGGATGATGACTCGATTGCATGGAAGGTGGTATGTGTGACGGTGGATGTGGATGTTGCATAACATGACTGGGTACAGGACCCACTGGCACGTGGGTCAGTCCACTCGGTGCTATGACATGCGGTCCGTGGGTAGGCGAGGCATTCAGTTTTGGGAAGTTGATGTTGGTCGGTTTCAGCTGTAAGGTCGATGGCTTGTTTGGCGTCGGCGGCAGCCGGCGACCATGACCTCTTCTCGCGACCAGCACCGGATAGCTGTGTTGATGCGGATGATGACGATGATGATGTGGACGACCACTACTTATCGGGCTTGGACTCCTCGAACGTTGCTCCAGACTCGTCGTGCCATAATGGGGACCACGCTCAATCCTGTGAACCGGACTTGGCGACCTGGCCGGACTCGTCGACGCGCTCCATGGACCTAATGATTACGCTCATTAAAATCTTCTGTCTGTATTGTACGCGTGGCACAATCGTTGCGGCGGGGCTTTTTCGACACACGGCGGAAGGGTTGCTCGACAAGTAAATCGTAAGCATGTGTTGAAAAGCCATTGGGAAATCCGATATGGATATTGGGGACCGGACAATTTTAGAATATTATTAATTTTCAACATTACTGATCGTATCGTTCGATTGTTTAATTAAAGGACTTTACGATGAAATAAAATTAATCTAGATTCAATCACTCGGTCTCTGTGCGAAATTCGAAGAGCTCGATTTATCAGAAAGGATTCAGGATTGACGAATAAATGATTATTAAGATAATGTAGCTCTATTAATATTAACTCTTTTGTAGGACTAATTATTATTTCTTTTTCAAGGAAGATTAATTTTAACTATATTTATTAAATGTGTAATAATAAAAACTTAATTTAATAATGGAGTATATTCTTGTAATTTTCTTGATTTCTATATTTTACGAAATTAATCATTATAACTCGTAATATAATTTTTTAAATTAATAAAAAAATATATGTGCTAGTTATTTTGAAATTATCAAATCCGAAGGAGGGTTAATGCAACATGCTTGTAGTATTTCGTGTTTCTAATACTGTGAAATCACTCAAATCAGTAATGCAAACACATGTCAGTGTTGGTGCTCTAAATATTAATTGTGTTCAAATTCTATGAGACATCTAGTATGGCATGCGCATACATTCTACGATACTAATTATTAAATTACGGGTGCATCAGTAATCGTGATAATTTTATAACAGTTATGTTATCTTAAAAGTGTGCAAAATCCTCTAAATCTCTAATTCTTGCAGACAAACTAAATTATGCTCAATATTGCATTTTATAATTCATATCGTTACGCCCGAGCGCCGTTCATGAATTTACTCGTAAAATACTCGCCGTAATGAAGGAAATTGATTTAGGCGATTATAATGATTTCATGTGGAATTTTATATAACACAGAAAATAATTTAATTAAATGAGAAGATTAATGATTAAAAAAGTTGTGGACTATGCGTACAACATCCGCTTAAATTTCTAGATGTCTTTTTGTTTATTCAATTGTTTATCAATTCTAGAGATGATGTTCGACTTATTCTTACTTCAAGATTATCTCGCATCGATCAAGTATTATAGATTGTGAGAAGACACAAGGACGTAACAATATAATTATTTAAAAACTAGAATTCCAAATTAATTAAACACGCTGATATGTAAAAACATGATTAACATATACATGTTATCTTTCAAATCATATATACCGCGTTAACTATCTATAAAATAAGATTTGTAGATTGTATTTAAGAACTGAACACACTAAAAAAATAATTACACATTAACATATTATAATAACGATCCAATAGGATATACTACCTACAACGATCGATTAGTCAATTTTCTTGATTGATAAAAGCTACTTGACAATCTCAACAGCGTTTCTAATGTAAAAAGCATCAAGAAACAACTAGAAAAGAAACGCTTTTGATGTAAATGTGTTAAACATTAATGCTATATTAGTGTTGTACGTATTGATTGTTTGAAAACTTCGACTGCGTTAACATTTTGTGATGTCTTTTGCATGTGTTTGTGTACAAGTATACGTGTGAATGCGTATCATTGCAAAATGGAACGAAGTAATAGTGAAAGCCAAACGATCGTATTGATTATGTAGTAACATCATAATTGCATCGTGGAGACAAGGGAATGAAGAAGAGGAGAGTTGTGAAAGAAATTACCATCGTCGTAATAGTCGCAGTGGTCGTAATAGTCTGTGTAGGCGCATAACAGAACAGAACGAAGAAACGTATTACATCGAGTATCACACAGAGCTTTTCTGCCTCGAGTAAAATCAACATTATAGCAACATTCATGTTTTTTTTTTTTTTTTTAATATAAAACCGTGACCACGAACTCTCTTTCGTTGCTTCCGCTGAACGCCAAATAAATTGCAATCTACAAAATTTAGCAATTGACGATTTTCAAGGATGCAATAGAACGTAAATAATGGCGCTATTTTCGTAGTGACTTCTGAAATGATAAATATATCACCAAGCCGGTTGGAGATAATCATAATCAATATAATAATTAATAATAATTATATAATAGAAATAACACCAAGAGAAAATGAAGGTATATCGGTGATACGGTGATAGAGTAAATACAAGGATGCTATGTTCGCAGTATTCCAGGCTGATAAAAGACAATGAGATAGAGAAACCGGTTGGGGATGACTAACACGAAACAGAGTTCGCTGTCGTGGTTCCGTGAAAAAGACTTATCGTTGCACCGTCGTGGCTTTCGCTGGTCGGAATTATCGCCGGTACGTCGTACCTCGTATCCTATGCCGATGATTATATTGTGACGCGTGGGGATGATGAGTGTGCCTTTGTATCTCAACGACGTTGCTAACGGTATCGCTAAACCCTGGTCCGTCGTGGTAATGACTATGGTCATATCGGCTTTGTCGCCTTGGCGATGGCGATCTAGGCATTATTGGCGAGTGTCTTCTGAAAATTATGACAACAACGAATGAGAAAATCACGATACGTCGTGTAGTACGTATATAACCAGCTAATACGATAGCCATGTCTATAACGATCAAGTACTGGAAAATCGAAGACATCAGTGTCTTTGAACATCATCCTTGCTTTAATAGTTTGAAATACATTAAAATTTAGTTTTCTCGAGTTTAATGTTTTACATTTTACTGGAATATATCTTTTATTAATTTTTCATTTTATTGTTTAAAATGCATTAGACTTTCGGATTTCATTCGTTCCTCAAATTATACAATTGAAAAATTGGTGTTAAAAATAAATTTCACGTGTTTTAAACGATCCACTTAAATTTTTGTATTAATTTTACACATAATGAATATGTTACTACAAATATTATGTAAAAAAATTAACTCAAAAAACGTAACACTTTGATACAATTTGTAAGTAAAACTATCTATTTTTTTCAATAAAATTAGGATATTTGTGACGTGTTAAATTAATTAATATACTTTATATTCATGTATAATATTTTAGAATATATGTTTTTAAATACATTTTTTTTATTTTTATGTTATTTGTCCACCTACTCAAAAATGCGTTTGTTTGATATTACACGAAATGTTAAATATTAATTTAACAAAATATCTAAATAACATAATCACATTGTATTAAATTAACATTCGGATATGTTAAAAATTCAACACAAAAATTTTTAACGAGAACTTAAGTGGATCGGTTTTTAACACAAATACGATGTTTTCACAGTATATTTTGGACTATATGACTACATTGTCTAAAAATGGTACTTCTTTGGAATTCTTTATACACATATATGTGTACGAATAAATTTGCACGCGACGTATACATACATGGACTTTTTCTTGAAATTTCTTGCTTTACATACTACACCCAATACCTTATACTTGGTGATCGTGAAGGTCTAGAGAGAAGCGCCGAGGGATGCGAACGAGGGACTCTGTCACCAGGAGTGAGACTCTCGAGGCTACCAGCACGTGAATCGGACGGTATGACATCCTGCAGCTCCTAAACGAGAACAGACTTTCGACTTAGTAGTTTGTCTGCTTAATTCAGAATCAGGTCAGGAATCGGGGAGTCGGGGTGTTGCCGGTTCTTTGTCTTTAGCAATATCGCGCTATCGATTTGCGCGTTCCGAACAAGAAACTATCGTAACACGACTATCGAGATGCCTTTTGTCTCCGGAATTGAAAAGCAGATGCACATTTGACTTATCATTTTGCTCATTTATGTTAGAGACCTTTGGTTAATTAAATATTATTCATATGCACATAATGTAGCGAGGAATACGAGAAGTTTAGATTAATTAAAGTGAAAAAATTGAATAAATTTAATATTTTTTTTATCAATAAAATTGATAGCATTGGCAAAATTTTACACACTGACTATCAATTTTTCATTATCGCAAAATATCACAATAATTTAATGCCATGGTGATAATTACAGCGATTAATTACACGAGAAGAATACGAGATAAAACTCATGTGTGTAAAAAAACAAAATAATATTTTTTATTAGATACGTGCGATCTGCTTCTCTTTATAATTTTTAGCGTATATATACTTTTGTGACTAACACAATTAAATATAGCTTCGCAAAAAATTAGGAAAAATTAAGAGATAAGGCGGAATAAGAGTAATTCACACACAGAGATACATACATATGTGTGTGTTGAATGACATGCAAATTAGAAAAATCTCGCTCATGCACATGCACTTGTTAATAGTTCCGATCGCTTAATTGGAAAAAGGAAGGTATCCGTTATCTTTGAGACGGGAGTCTCTCTCACAAGAGTGTGCTATCTTACTTACCAGGACGTGGACATAAAGAATCAAGATAAAACATTACAGATGAGGAGAACGAGGCAGTCGTGCGATCGTGTTGACTGCTTCGTTGCTCCAACGATAATCCTAAGGCCGAAAGCAGCAAGGGATAAGGGGGTGGGAACTTTTCTATGCATCGATATGAGAAGAGTCGCTAAGACCTTTCGGGTAACACACGTGACTATTTCTCTATGTGTTCACGCTAGAGCGTTGTTGTCTTTCTAGGTGTCGTTATTATTTACAGGAGCACTAACACTCAACGAGATCCAGATCGATTCGGCCAAGACCGATTCTTCCAACATAAATTAAAATTTCATCCGATTCCACTGCGAATCGATCTTGAACGCTTAAGATCACGACATCACGGACAATACCTCTCGATCCGCGTGATATTTCTTGAACATTTATCCTTTCAGGATTGGAAAATTTGAAATTCGGATTGGTAGAGAACGTCGATTGGCTGACTTATCTAAGACGTCCTAATCTAAACATTATATTTAAACATAAATATTTTTAGTTCGTCTAGCGGGAGTTTAATTGTTTTTTTAATCTAATTTTATACTAACGGGACTTTATCTAAAAACTTACTTCATTTATCTAGATCTCATTACAAGAATTTTTTGGGAGAAGGTCACATTTTCTAAAAATACTTTTGGTGACACAATTAATTACAATACTATAAGTGCGAGACAGCATCCTAATTTAGACCAACGTAGCAGAGCAAATTCGCGATAAAAGACGAAATCGTAATCTAGAATTATTTTCAGGTAAAGTAGAACAATCTACGTGATCTATATTCAATTACAAGATGTTTCTGGAGATTTCAATGAATTTTCATTATTAAATTGTTAAAATTTTTACGCATTATCGATATCAACAGTAAATGCTTTGGTACATAAACAAAGATATTTTGTACTGTTAAAACAAGACAAAAATAATGAAAAAAATGCTTTCTCTAATGCAAAAATCTGGTATTTTATATTAAATAAATTAATTTAATTGAATAAAAATTGATGTATATTATTATTCAAAATCTTTTTAATCAATTTTATAGTCAAAATGACCAAAAATAATGTCATGTTTTTTAAATTAAAATAAAAAAATTTTAGTTCTAGAAATAAGACCAAAGTTTTCAACGAAATAAGATCATTTCAGAAACATCTTGTATTTGCTACGTAACTAACACATCGTATACATGATAATAATCGCGATTAATATGTGACCGCATCTCGGGCGAGATAGGGTCTTTTCCGGCTTCTTTGATCGCAATCTACTTCCGATAGGGTCAAGGGAGAGAGGACATTCTCGAACAACCGAGGAAAATCTTTTGATCTTGGACCGAGCCGACACCTTGTGGTAACGGATCGAGGAGCGAGGTGCGTAGGTGTTCTGGTGTTGGTAGTACGAGGGTGGTCGGTGGTCATGATGATGGTGATGGTGGTGGTGGTAGTATTGGTGATGGTCATAGTATTGATCATTGTCGGTATCGTAGTAGTATTGGTCGTGATGGTGATGGTCGTGGTAGTAGTTGTTTTGATCATCCCGCTGGGAGGGCATCTCGGCCAGCAATGGCTCTAGCTCAGGGGCGCGATCCTCGCCATTAACTACGAGTACAACCCCAGACCCACCCCCTCCCTGGCTACTCTCTCCGCTGCTGCCTAGTATATCGTACTGGCGAGACATCTTCCAGTTCACCTTTTTGTTTCTGAAATAAAAAAATAACCACTATTCTAGTACTCTCGACAAAAAATGCGCTGACAATAAATCGACTAAACATTACGCAATATAAAATTATTAACACTTTCTCGTAATTTTTACGAGTCGTCAATTTTGAGATACATTAATCCATTTATCGTGATCCAAATAGCTAACTATATGAATTCCAATTTTTTTATATCGTTTCCTTATATACTTTAAAAGTAATATAACTAAAAAGATTAAGTTTCTCAGAAACATTTCACATTCAAAAACTATTTTTTATAATACCATTTATCTTATACCTTTTCTATACTATAAATGCATTTTGCTTTTAAACATAAAAAACTATATACCTGATGCTACGTTGACGTCTGTGTTCGGCGGCTGCGAGGACGCCTAGAGCCCCTTCCTCCTCATCCGTGTGGTCTCTATGTCGTTCGTGCTTCGCTTCTATGGTCGGTAGTATTCGCACCACCGGTTCGAGGCTGTCCGCCCTACTTCCAGCTCCGTGATTATTTCCGGTCACGTGATTTACCGCCGCCACGTCCAGCAGGCAGTTGTAGAAGGCCGATGGCTAAATTGCGAAACGTGCGAAAGCACACTGGCTATCAGAGCTGATCGACAGGGATCTCATTTTTCGATCAACAATTTCTTTCTTTTCATATTTTTTTTTTGCGCTTTTATTTCTTCATTTTTTTAGTTTCTTTTGGCATATGTATATAAATAAACTATATATACATATATGTACAGGCACATACAGGCTTTTTTCTTAGCGTTACCTCTCGTCGGTGGTCTCTCGAAAAATCGTGGTAGAATGTGAGACGCTTATAAAGATCGGAAGCATTCAAAGTCGAGAATCAACAGTGTAAAAAAACGGTGAGAAAGAGATTCTCAGAGTAAAGAGGCGGCCATGCTAGAGAAAAGGCATGCCGTGATGGTGCGTTTACTTGTGTCTATTTTACGGCTGACTCTTCCATATCTCGAACTATTGTATACGTTCGAGAGAACGTGTGTGAATGCAAGAATTAAAAAAAAAAAACGGTAGCGTAAACGGTATTGCAGCGGAGTAAATTTTGTATTGCGTCGCAAAGCCTGTATATGTTGATCGAGACTGTTATGTATATAAAGAAAAAGAAAAAGAAATGTTATTCCCTTTTTTCCCACGTATACAAAAGTGTTACAAGTGGATACAAATGCATTAATAAGGAAACGCGGTTAATTTTTTGAGAGACGTAACAATAGTACTGTAAGAATGCAATTGTTAGTAAGCATGCAAACAGGTAAAGTCCCGATGTTCTACCTTAGTTCTGTACATGTTCTAGAAGCAGTATATTATTTTAAAAACAATTTAAAAGTTACAATAATTAGAATTCTTTTTACATCTTTTCTTATCATTAACGTCGCGAACTATTGCGGATAATTTATATTTTTGAGGTAGAACACGGATATTATAGTTCACATTCCGCAAAGATCATACAAATATACCAAATAATCGTGGACAAAATTGAAATCGGCTGTTTGATATGCAAAAACGGGTCTAAATAGAAATATGTTCCAAGGTTGAGGACTGTCTGGAACATGCCGCTATATGAGAAGTCCCAAAATCATTGTATACATATTTTAATTATTAATTTTATTTAATTAATTAATTATTTTAGTCTTTAATTTGTGTAAACTCGATAAATCTCTTATTATTTATCGTTTTAACCACCTTTAACACATCTTTGGGACATCCTACATATATCGAATACTTATGTCAAGTGCTTGCTAAATTTGTAAAAACAGGAGCTGTATCTATCGAAAGACATTTAGAATGCAAATAAACGAGGCGGATAAATCGTTTTTCATCTATTGAGCTACGAATTGCTTGCCACGAGAGGAAGTGATCATCAATGTTTACGGTATATTTTTCGTAAGCATCGTCGAACACGCCCGGTTGCTCGCCATATTCGCGATTTACAGGAGCAATTTATCGAAATACTTGTAGATTTTGATGGATAACTCATTCGCCAAAAGAATATATTGTTATTGTATTGAAAGATATTTAGTTTACTATATCACAGATTGTTGAGATTGATTTTATCTTGTGTCAGTGCACGTTGATACGTGTGCATGTGTGTACAATATAGAGAATGTGTCAAATGACGTGTAACTGAAAGAGCGGAAAATTGCTCTAGTAGAAAGCGGAAAACTGTTCTAGTAGTAGAAAGCGATCGGATAAGTTGGGCAATACTACGAGTCTACTACTGAAATCACTGATCACAAAAGTGCCTATTAATCTCCTCTACACTACTGCGGTAAAACTTGTAAGAAAAAAAATCTTTTTGGCAATAGCTAGCAGGAGCGTTATTTCAGCTGTCGCATTAACTTCGCATCGTAAGAAAAAGATATTCTGAGATTATCTAGCATCTAAGAGAAGAGAAACGACAAACTTCAAAGTATCAAATCTTCACAACGTCTAAATTTGCTTGCTTAGATATTAGATGATCCTGAATCTGTTTTCTTATTAAGACCAAGCGAGGCATCGATATCCGCGTGTAAACAATACAACGCATACATTGTCTAACAAGAAAATTAATTATATGACTTTTATATATATAAATAATTGAATTACTATTTATTAGGTACCCATTATTTCAACATGGTTCCATGATAGCTCCAATAATCTTTTATTATTAGCAATTTTACATTATTTGAACTTGTAACGAGCGCGAAGTTGAAATGCTTAGAGCAATGTAATTCCAATTTCTACTTTAAAAAGTTTATATCGAGCTGAATAAAGGAGAGAAAGAGTTGTCAAACGCTCGTGAGTAAAGTAGACAGTCCGATAGAATGAAAAGGAAGTATCTATGTCACGCTCTAAAAAAAAATTGGATATTGCCAAACTATACGTTTAATTAATCGAAAAGAGGCTTGCTTGGCAAGAAAAGAGTGTATATGTCTAAAAGGCATTTATATCGTAGATTGAGGCAAAAGGCGGGCTATATATAGGTATATACGTTCGAGAATCAATTATCTTATCGGGCTACTTCTCATTCTAAATAGACTCAAGAAATGGAGCTCTATAAGGTCATTTACTTACACATAGCTATACCGCTATTGCCGGTCGACAAAGAGCCGATTCTACACGCGCGTACACGTGCGTATGTAGCCACGTGTTACCCACGTGTCGGCAACAACACGACGACTAAAACAACTCTGACAACGTATTATAATCATATATATCACTGCGGGAGCCGCTCGCACGCGCGGGACCTCATCGAAAGTTATATGGAGAAGAGATCATCTTCCCTTTGTGATATATAGATCGAAGTGAGAGCTATTCTTCAACGTTATCCTAAACTAGTTTGACAAAAGGAAACGTGCGATTAGACAAAGAAAAACGCCTTTCCGTAGAAAGGCACTGAAGTATCTAAAGACTAGCTCGTGTGTGAGCCTGATTAAAGATCTATTAAGAATTAGAGGAAAGGCCCTTATTATGAGTATACTGAGTTCATTTTGAGTAAATACTGGAAGTCTATAAGCAAAATTTAAAAAACAATAGGTCATTTTGAAGGAAAAGTTTTAAGATAGTGTTATATAAAATTTAATTCAGATTTTATTTTTTTCTGAAAATTAAAAAAATATAAAAAGTGAACAAACCGTAAAATCCTCCTTATATGAGATACCCTGAGAAATCGATAATAAAGCGCAAAGTATATTAAATAGTATTGCAATTAAAAAACTTTATTTAATGTTTCTAAAATACAAACGAGTACAGCCTTTATGCGCGTAAAATGAGTATACGATGTGTTGTATCCAGCACTCGTCTTCATGTAGTTGGAACCAAACATAGCAGAAACAGGCACTGGATGTTCATTCCGGTTATCCTTTTTATTACTGTATAATAACATCTATACTTTAGCAACGATTTTCATTCGGACATAAGAGCATAGGTTATTTTGTATTAGAAATGCCTTGGATATCTCATATTACAAGTTCCACGTCTTACGGTTTTATCGCGATCATCAAATCCAACTTTTGTAATTAAGCAATTCAACATATCCCGTATTTTCTATTATTAGTACGATCTTACTCTATAACTACATGAAGAATTTTTATTACCAAATATGTACATATTATAAATAATAAATTTATCAAGGTTTAAAGACTCATTTCAACGAAGCTTAAAGACATCCAAATTAAAAAATCTTTTTCTGCAACGACTACAGGCATTATCCAACGATGAATTTTTCACTAAATAGTTTTCAATAGTGATAAATTCATTGATGGAATTAACAGATAACGTTTATAAGTTTAGCAGAAACGCCGTTGTTTTATATTAGGCGTCTATCTCATAATAAGGGACTTTCCTCTACGTATCTAATATAATAAGTGCCTAAGTATAAGATAGACTAAAATATATTGCCGTGTTAAAGTGTTGTATGCGAAACAGCTATATATTTTCTCGCTTTCATCGTTAATTAAATTTTGTATCTCTGCGTGGATATTTTGTACAAAAAAATATTTTATCTAATTTCAAAATGTGGTTATATAGTCCTTCATATATTATAGTCTTAATTTTCTTTTTAATATATGATAACTTAGTTACGTTGAGATTTTATGCAATAGAAGTTTATTCAAAGATTAAAAACTAATTTAAAAATGTAATTCTACATTTTATGCACACTCAACTTTTTCGTTAAATATACTTGATATCGTACAATAATGATTTTATATGACTATTGATGACAATAGTTGTTTCGCCTTTGGTGGTGTATACATGTGTATATGATTATTTAGTGTTAAATAAAGGGCTACTTTACATAAACGAAAGACAGGTCGAAAGTAATCGTATACACTCATGACGAGTAAAAAAAATTGTGTGCAGTGTAAAATAGAAAGACATACCAGAGGCGCATTAGTTTTACTACATTTGTAATAAAAAATGAAAATTAATTTACAAATTATATCGCACAATGTGTTTCATGTAAGTATGTTATTGTTTAAAACATCTAAGAGATAAAAAATATCAAAAAATAAAAAAAACTATTTATTTATCTTAAAGAAAGAAAAGTAATTTGTGTAAATCGCATTACATGAGTCACTTTGCATATGCGCGATGCATTTTTTCTTGCATCCATCATGTGTGCCTCTGGATAAAGTGAGTAAAGAGTGAAGTAGAAAAAATTGGATTGTGAAAAGTGTTAGTTTAGAAAAAAACGAATTATATGCTGCAAAAGATTCGTTTCTTTTTTTAAAAATAATAATAAGTTATTTTTATAAAAATATTAAAGTTAAATATCGGTAATAAAAAAAAACAGATCGAAGAAACTTTTGCAGTATTAATACGAATCGGACGAATGTGGTTAAAATTGAAAAACACAAATTGTACAGCCAAAAGAAAAACAAAACAGTGTTAAGATAAGATAATAATAAGTAAGATAATAAGTAAGAGAAAAAGTAAATACTACCGCCTGGGCTGCAGGACTTTGCCCAGCATTATCGTTATCGATAACATCGTTATCGTTCTGGAAAATAAAGAGAAAAGACACAAGGAGATAATTGAAAATTGTGTGAACATCCTTGCGATTTGAGTATATTTAAAAAAAAAATAATTTAATCGATAAATTAATTATTACTATTAATTGCTATTCTTTGGATGTCATTAATCTGTTTATTCAAGAATTCGTAAATATTCTCTTATTTTAGAGATATTCAATTAAAAAATAATAAATATTGTGTTCTCTGTTATCTAATAATCTAATTGAAATTCATTCAGTATCTTCAGGCTTTCTATGATATACAAATATTGTTGTTCAATCGATCTACCGATTGTCATTAAATAAAATATTTTTATTAATATAAATATAACTTTTTTCAGTTCCACATCGATCCATTGTTCCACTTAAAATTGATTTATATTAACAAATTATTTAAAACACATTAATAGCAATCGGTAGATCAAAAGCAAATAATCTATATTAATTACTTGCACAAATTTCGAGATACAATGTTTAAGTATAAGATCTAAATGTTTCTACAAACATTGACTTAGCTAATATAAATAAAGAGAACAATTGTGCATAAATAATTCGACTAAATAGTTTGTTGTTTCTGTTGTCCCATTTTTAATGAGACCATAATTGGAAAGACATTATTTTCTTCTTGTTACATTATATTTTCACAACTATAATTAGATTTATTTTCCAGTAAAAATTTTATATAAACTTTTTGTAAGATATTAAAACTACAATTTAAATATTTAGCAAATTCTAATTTAAATTTATTCAAGTATATATTTATTTTTTAGAGCTATCTTTATCTATATTCGAAAAAGTTTATCATGATATTAAAGTTCTGAGTGATCCAGCTTATAGATTACACGAGATCTTTAGAAAATACTTCTTTTCGTAAATTCATTAGCACATGGGCTGCCCTATCACGTGGAAGTCAACGGCAATCATTCACCTTTTTCTTAATTGAGATCTTCCATTTCGATTTTCCAATTCGTTCTTTCTACAGTGATTAGTTAAAAAACATTATTTATCTAATAAATATTTATTTATGTCGATTTATATCGTGCTTGCATTTCATAAACTTGCCCAATAGAAAACAAGAAAATCGGAAATTGAAATAAGAAAATCGTAAATGAACGATCACAAAAGAAACTTAATATTAGAAAAATGCATCTTTAGAACCTGCTATCGTTCTCGTGGAAAATATATAATGTTAGTTTGATAGAAGAAAAAAAAGAGGCTCACCTCTGTGGCAGATTTTAGCTGACCAAACTTCGTCGACCTCCAACTTTCGAGTATCAGAAGGCAGACGTATATCTTACCCACGGTGAGCTTGTCTCTACCTAATTCTGAAAGAAAAAAATCACACCATTATTAGATATTGCAAAATATATCTTGTTGGGTAGAAAAGAGCGAATTTTACCTTCATTCCTAGGTATCAAAAGGTCCAACATCTTTTTCGCTTGTAAAGGCCAAATACTTCTGATCGTGTCCCGCAGTTCTTCGTTGGCTTGACTCATTTCGTCGGCTGGAGCGAAAAAAAGAGTCGGACTTATTTGCATGATTAATTAGTATTTTAACACAAAAAATAAACAAATAAATATTTAATAAGATATATTTAAAATAAGATTAATGTCTGATAATGTCTATGCTGTAATGTAATTTACAAAAATATTTTCTCAAGAATGAAAGATGTGCTTCTTAAAATATTTGACTTTATTATATATGAAAATGTACGAATTAAGAAAAATTGCATTAATCGACGTTTTCTGCGAAACGACAGTAACCATTTCCTTTTTCTACACTACGTAAATTTCTATGGACTCACCGCATCGCATTTTTATGCTAAGATTCTCGCGAATAAGGGCGAACAGTGTTGTCGTGAAGTTCACCTTGCCATCACCGTCTACCGGCATATTCATTCTGATAAGCTTCTTGTACGCAAGCCGATTCGGGCACTTGTTGCCAAACCCCAACGGCGGATCCATATTCTTTAGCATATCGTACATCTCCATGTAATGGATCTTGCCAGTGGCATTTGGATCATATTCAGCCCAAATCCGCACAAACTCGTCGAGATGATGTGCGCCCAGGATCGACGAATCCCGCGTAAGATAATCGAAGTTGTCCATGATGACGGCAACGAAGAGATTCAGCATGAGGAATGAGCAGAAGAAAATAAACGACACGAAGTAGGCGTAGGCGATGTTGGAGCCGCAACTGTCTTGTTCGTCCTTCTCGGCTTTTGGGTCGCAGGAGCGACCTTTTACGCACGACAGCATGATGTTTGGCCAAGCCTCGCCCGTGGCACACCTGAGAGAATTGCATCTTGAGCGTTTCTATTATGCTTATCATGTCATCTTAGTAGGAACAAGAACTGTAAATATTTCAGCGATCTAGCTCATCGCAGATGCCAAAAAAACCGCGATAATTATACTAATATTCTCAACCGCATGCAGACCTTTCAATTCTAAGTTAATCGATAACGCTTAACAGTTGCTATGAGATTAGTTAACTGTGAAAAGTTATGGCAACTTGTTATACCTGAGAATAGATACCTATAGCTATATACAAATTCATTGTTGAGAGATATATATATATATATATATATAATATATATTATAAAAAATTCAAATTCTGTTCTGTTTGATTCAACATGCCAACCCATTAAAGAACCGATAATAGTTTAAGCATTCTAAATTAGGCTTACCGAAATATTTTGAGATTTCAATTAAAAATAAAAGTTATATAATGATTCTTATTAAGAGAAACATTTATCTCGATTATTTTGTGCTGTTAAACAATTTAAAAAAAAATTAATTTTATTGCGAGTAGATTATATCATAAATATTTAGTCTCAAGTATAATTCTTTTATACTACGAACAATTCCAAGTTAGTATTATTAAGCAGCATCTTTTTGCAATCGCAAAAAAAAGTTGAATTAAAAAATTGCAAAAGTTCATGCGATATTTTGGCAAATTATGACATTATATTTTCAGCACATGTTAAGTTTAGTTTTTGTAATCTCCTCAGTCCTCTCTCTCTCTCTCTCTCTCTCTTATTAGTAAGATTTTAAATGCTTTAATAAATTTTTATATGTATGCCACTTATTTGCATATTAAAATTATATACTATTTTTTCATGTAAAATTTGTTTCAAAATTGTTATTAGAGATTAATAACAATTTTTTTATACAATCTTTTTAACCGATAATGCTAATTGCATCTGCTTTGAGACTGAGGAGAGCAAGTAATTGGATTCCAGTCTCTTTGTAAGCGCGACATGCATAAGGCTTAATATTTTACGCAACGAAAAGCGAGCTAGATACTGCGAACTTAATACGGCGAACTCAATTCTACACGAGGCTGCTGTGTATTATTCTGTTTGCTCTGAATATGCCGTGTCGTTTAGCCTGATTCTGCTTTTGTGCTCGATTTAGTGCTGTGAACTTTACAGTAAAACATGGTTGGATCGAAGCGAAAAGGCCTGCTGTGAACATACATCCGTAAATAATACGAATTAAATAATTAGAAGACTTCGCGACGTCGTGATAATTGGAACGCTCAACGTGAGAATAACATGTACCTAAGTTATATTTAAAAAATCTTAATATTTTTAGACTGTGGATATATTATAGTACCAATATTTTAACTTGAATGTAATTTTAAAATATCTGAATATTTTTGAAAATTTTGATATAATTATCATCTTTTTGAATATTGTAGTGAAAATATCTAAACGATATTAAAATCTACGAAATTTTTCCATAACTTAAACAAAATAAATCAATGCAACCAATTTGTGCAATATTTGCTATATATGACATATAAGTGATTCAATTAGTTAATTCTTCGTCACGTAAACGTTACCAAAGATCAATCTGTTTTCGCATCACAATCCGAGGAAACTTGGATCGTCTTCCGCATTGTGCTCGTAACAAAATGATAAGTGATAGATAGCTTGCCGCAGGTGTTGAGCGTGAAAGCTCATTCGATCGTTTTGCAAATCGCGCTGATAGTCACGTGGTCAAATTCAATGGCTAAACAGTTAGCTAAATTCCTCTGGCGTGGCGTTACTTACCGAAAAAGCAGCATCAGACCTTGTATGAAGCTTTGGAAATTGTTGTGCTTCGTAATAGAGGTATCAGCATCCAGCGCGATGTTACCGAAAACCTGAGACCCACAGAAAGAAGAGGGCCGCAGCCAAAAGGCACAAGCGGCATTACAAATTTGCGTCACTAAATATGCTTTTTTTAAATAATAAGAAAATATCAAAAATAATTGGAATGTCCTCTGCTTTCCTTCCCGCTGGATGACCACTAATTTCCATTTTTGTATCGCTTCGATCACGGTTTTGTGTATGCGTGTATAATGAGTATTACAGAATTCAATTTTCTATATATAACTACAGTTACTCATATATACTTTTTCTTTTAACAAGTATACAGTGTACTCGAGAGAATTAACGTAACTAAACGAGTGTAAACGAAATTTATGGGTTAAAATAAATGATTAAATAATACGTTAATTTAATCATTAAAGATTCTGATTAATAAAAAAATTTATTTTAACAATATTTTTTAATAATTAATTTTTTGTGTATGAGATTTCACGGCGGTACATTAGTTATAAACGAATGTAAACTTATGAAAAATTATACATTTACGCGATGAAATATTAACTAATATTTCTTATAAAATTCATTCTCTCAAGCACTACCTTAATTAAAACTTCAAGACTTTTAACTTAACGCAGGCATCTATAGGGTTGTTACTAATTAGGATGAGTCACAACAGATTAACACGTCGAGCAGCTTACTCTCGCGTTACAGCTCATGCCAACAAAGCATTACTCTAGAGGTAATTTACGACGATCACACTTTTATATATATCCCTTTCAACTTCTCGCTCTACGGTCGACGACGTATCTCCCATCAGTACCGCGCGAGATCTTTAACGGTGCTTCATTGAGGATCGGGAAAGAATGAGTTAGTGATCAATGTATTGCAATCATAATACAAAAAACTATTTTTCTGTCAAAATAATTATAAGTAAAATTGTTATAAAATATTTAAAAGCCGTGAAAACACATTTAATACAATTTTTCTTTTATAATGTATGATCGGTACAAAAGTCATTCTAGACTTTCATGACATCGTAGTCCTTTTATGATATTATCCTGCGAAACATCGTAAAAGATCGCGACGATAAGCCAGCTGTGCGCTAAAATCGTTTCCCTCTTACATACGAAGATAAATTTTGAGTAAACAAATAAAGAAAAATCTTTTTTACTTTAAAAGATAATAAAACCGTTAGTTTAATTTAGAAGATATTTCATTCGTACGAAAGGGAAATGATAATTGGACCAGCCGATAAGTGGCCAGAGGTCATCTCATTCGTCGCCGTCGAACCGGCAGTCAATCTAGCTGCTCGACTCACCGAAAAAGCAACATAAGACCGGCGAAGAAGGACTGAAAGTTGTTGTGATCATCGATCGCTGTTTCCGGATCGTTCGATATATTGCCAAAGACCTGACAACGGACAATTTCAGGGTCACTTAATGGCCACCGGGGGGATCTGCTGTCTGTCACTTAAAATTCCCAATCTGCAAGGTTACGCGTGCCAGAAACTACTTCGAAATCACTTTGACACGCCATTTCTCACCCGATTCGAAGCTGAGATAATTACACGGCTCTAGTTTAGAGAAATATCTAAATGATGATGCACGCTAGCGATAATTTTTTACTAAAATAGATAAGCCATCGATCTTGGAGATCATTGGCTAATTATGTTTTTTAATTATTAAAGCTACTATTTTTTTCCGTACAATATCAATTACCTACAAAAATTCAAAAATCTCTTTCTTTTTTATAAAACCACAAACAATTCCGCATCTGTTTCTTTCACGTCGAATGTCGTAGAACATAAGATAAGTCTAGTGTATATAATAATGTTTTTAATCTTGCAAATTTCCAACTTTATTAAATTTTTATGTCTTCCTTGAATGATCATGTTTTACTTCATCATTACTTCAATCCTGCACCCTTCTGTACATTATCCCCCAAAAATACATTTAAAGGACAAATTCGTAGGAACTCCTGAGAAATCGAAGCTACGGAAGAAGATTCATACCTGCATACCGATGATAGCGTAGATGAAGAACAGCATTGCTATGAGGAGACAAACGTAAGGCAGAGCCTGGAAGAAAATAGGTTTTTATTATCGTTATCTCGATAATTAATCCTAGAGAAGTTGATGATGAATGAAGCAAAATATTATAACGATCAAGGATATTGAAAGAAAAAAAAAATAATCGTTGGCACGTACGAATTAAAGGGATGCAAATCAATAATTAGAAAATTATATAGGATTTAATTTAATGAGACGTGCTTACTTTAAAGGACTGTACGAAGGTCCAGAGTAAAATACGTATCGTGTACCCCTGTCTCAGTAGTTTGATCAGTCTGGCGGCGCGAAAGAGCCTCAGAAAGCCGACGTTGATGAAGTTCTCCTGCAGGGGACAGAGGAAATTGCACTTAACCCCACAAAATGCCGACTCCTTATTGCGCGCCAGAACGGAGCTTCGTGCGTGCAACGTTTCGGGATTACATATTACGCGTCGAAGGATATTAATCTTTTCGGCGTACTATGTTTTTCGGTTCTCGGCGATGCACGAACGAAGCTATGGAATAAACTGACATTCTCTCGAAGAGATGTAAAAACGAGAGTGACAGTTAAAACCTTGATGAAATTGAAGATCATTTTTAGGAATGCAAAATTACTGCCGAAAGAAACGTAGAACTAATTGTAAATATAAGTTACTAAGAACTACTAATCATTAGTATTATTATATATTGAAATAAACAGGATATATTTTTATCAAGTAACTAATTGTATTTCTAACTGTTTCAGTAGATTAAGCTGTATATTTCAGTAGATTATATAAGCTCTAGTGATATTTCCTTCTTTATTTATTATAAAAGTCTTTTTATTTCTATACAAATTTAATCTTTAATCTTTATATACTTAATCTATGTATCAATATATAAATTTAAATAAACTAATTCTAAATTGATGCATTCATGATTTACTTATTTTATTAATTTTTTATCAGTACAAATTTAAGTAAACTAGTTCTAAATCAATTTATTGATAATTCTCGAGTTTAACCATCTTAATGATGAATCATGTTTTACTGTAATAATTGAACTATTTTAACTATTAAATTGCAACGCAATTACATAATAAAATTTTATTAACCCTTTTGCTGTAACGATTGAATTGTGTTCCCGACTATTGCGTTACAAAGACAATTGATAAATCGAACTCAAGATAGATTAAACACCGCATCCATATGCCTTTAAAATATTGTTAGGTAATGTAACTATAATATAGTGTGATAATTGTTTGAATTCGTAGTATCAGTGTTGTAAAATGTTCGAAATTGTTAGTGTAATGTACGAATAGTATTCTGAAAAGTACATGCACAGGATAAATAAACAGGATAAAAGTGACTTAATCTAAAAATGACTTAGCAAAGACCTTGAGAAAATACTAGCTTCGAAACCTAGTTCCCTCTTCTTGCTTGCAAATAATCACAAATAAATTATGTTGATCATCCATTTTATCTTAAATGTTGCTAATATAAGTATTTGAAAACGATACATATAAAGATATCTATATCTGAAATAATATAATAATTACAAATTTTCAGAAATAGGAATTATAAAGAAAGACTTATTTCGGGGATTTCTACACAAAAACTAAATTTAGAGAGTTGCGGTATTTAATATTAGTTTTGTACTTGCAATGTCGTAACTTCTTCCAACTTAAGTCGTCAACATAAAAACTGGATAGTAATTTTATACCTTTTTTTCGCCTAGCTGGCCACCACTGGGCACGGTCGACCGGTCCTATTACAGAAATATGTGAGATTGCGAGATTATTCCATCCCCAATATTGAGCTTTTGATTGTTCAACTTTTGGTAATTACAATGAGAACAGAAATACTAATGACTGGCAATCAACACTGGCGATGAGTAATTTCATAAGCAGTTCACTTTAATATCAGGACCAATACTCACTTCACGATAATTCTAGCTATTTTCTTATCTGTACTTCTAACAAAGACATATCTTTATGAAAAATATTTTGCAAGCGCAGGCAGCAAATATATACAGATTTTGACACAAACTTATATATTGGATATTTCTCTAGCAAGGGGAAGAACAAGTAATGTACATACAAATTTTACCTTTACATATATTTTAATACTTATTGTCATAATTCATGTATAAGTGGCACATTCGAGCAATATTGAAGAGTTTATAAATTTGCATTGAAAGTTTTGGAATTTTTAAATTAATTGTATTACACGAATCGATAATATTCATTGGAGATATGAAATATATATTAAAATAATGTTAAAAAATAACAATTTTTCTGTTATTTTTTTTTTGCGTTACCTAATCATTCATTTAAATGCACATTCCGTTAAGATTCATATAAACCAAGGCATATAAAAACTTTTCAATGCAAATTTCTTGCAAATATTATTCCGTTATATCACTTGCTTATGGATTACTAAACAGTAAGTACTAAAACATTAAAGTTAGGCAAAATCCGTGGGTATACTATCTGGCCCTCCTCTTTGTGAGAGAGATTTGCAAAATAATATTATTCATATCCTACATATATTACCGACTAAATTGTAATCGCTACATCAGTGGAACCGAAATAATCAACGTCACTATGTGATTGGAAGAAATTTTTCTGAGCAATACTCTCTAATACAGTGTATTTGCTCCTTTTCTACCTCCAAACTACAACTGACATTGGTTAATCTAACAAAGTCACAGGATATTAATATATTGTATGTAGAAAGAAATTTTCTAATACGAAGAATGGAAAGGATTGGTATCGGGACATGTTCCTGTTTATGTACATGTAACTGTTTCACTATATAATTGCGTAAATGTATACTGTGCAAATGTAGCGATGTACAGTGTGATGTATGTAGCGTATGAATGCAGCACGAAGCTAAAAGGTAATACATACAAAGGTGTTCGAGATACTTCGGTTGTCGCAATTTACCTGCTAGTTCGTCACACGGACTTTGCACACGGCGAATCTAAGTAAGCAGCAAAAGGGTTAAACGAAAGACAAAGGTACACATTAAGCAACACTGCCGCGACGATTAAGGGCCACTATTATAGATGCGTGTTCCGACAAAAAGCACATTTCAATAAATTTATCTTGAACATGAGAATTAATCTAGCATGTTGAAACAATATCTCAGTGATATGACATAAAAAGTATCAAAATAAAATCACGCGATAAATATATAACAATATATTTCTTTTATATAAAAAAATACACGTATAAAATTTAAAATTTTCTGCATGCGTAAATCTTCAATTATCGAGTTTCAACATTGATTGTACTGTTTTGAAAGTAATTAAACATTCATTATGATGTTTTCTTTATGTAAATTTTATATAATTAGTATTATATCTATCAAATACATCAAAAAATGTAACTTTTTATCTAATTTGTCTGTGATACAATCATTTTTATTTGCATCAACATAAAAGATCAATTCTGACATTTGGTGCGACTTCATCGGAATGACTTTTCATCAGAGCAAGCAACTATCGTAATCACAGCTTAGCCTCGGGTTTCCTGAAAGATTCCCGATTACATGTATATACCTGGAAGATTTCTATTACGGGTTTTAATAGCTAAAACGCAATTGACACACTTATACTTTTTTTTTTCGCTACGTTCCGGTGTTCTACATACCCCGAACTCGATCACGAGGGCATCCACGATGCTGCCGATCACCGTAATGAAATCAAAGGTGTTCCAGGCATCCTTGAAGAAGTTCTGCTCGTGGAAACAGTTAAAAGAATTGATTAGCAAAAAGATTTTTCATCCCCCGATTGAGTGTTTATTTCTACTACCCCGAAGCTCGCTAAACAGCTCTGATATATTTTGCATTGCAACAGATGTAAATAAAAATTTTAATTACCAGTATATGACTTTGTACACGAGCAAAATCAAGACATCATGAAAAATAAGAATAAATAAGAATTGCAAAAGAAAAAGATTTAATACACAATTAAAAACGAATCTGTGTATATATAGTTAATGGATAAAACATGTTTTTCATATTATTTTTACATATTATTTTACATATTATACTAAAATTATAAATTTAGGAAGTATATATCGTTATAATTAAATTTTCTGTTTTCGCTCGTAAACGTTTGTATGCTCCAAACGTAAACAAAAATTTATATAAAAGATATTATATTAAAATATAATTTTGTTCTAAAAAAATCATATGA